CTGGGGGCACAAAGGTGGCTGGGAGATGCTGCTTTTCTTCCACGTCTCTGTCCGTCTCGCCCCCACCCACTGCAGTTCCATGTCTGGCCCTTGGCCTGTTTGCTGGAGAGCATTCCAAAGAGTCCCTGCCTGCCCCTTTGCTCCACTTGTGTATGGCGTGCCATGGTGAGGGCATGGCTGGAATGCAGACTGGGGCCCAGCCCCAGCTTCCCGAGTCACGATCTTTCAACTCTCCTCCATCCTAGGATCCTGTTACCTTCCTGCTCAGCACATTGGCTCTCTGCTCCTTGCTTCCCACAGAATAAGGTCTGAGATCTTCAGCCTTCGGCAAGCTGATGGCCCGGTCCCTGCATGGTGGGCAACATGCTACAAGTTCAGCAGCGGTTCCTCCACACACTTTGAGCCCAGTGCTCCAGCCCAGCCTGTTCCTGCTCCTGCCTCAAATGCCCATCCATCTTCCCTGCCAGGCCGGCTGTGGGCCAGCTCAAATGCATCTCTTCCTCTCCCCTTCTGGGTTTTAGATGGGGCAATCTTCCCAGATTCTTGCTCTGCCAAGACATTCAGAAATAACCTCGCCCTCTTCTGGAGTCCTGCGGGATGTCATCTACATTTTCCTTCCTATTTCTCTTGGACCTGACTTGTCTGTACACTGTGAAAGCAGGAGCAAATTTATATGGTGAAAAGGACTGCAGGAAAGCCAGTGTCTCCAAAGTGCCGTGGACTACCCATGGGCCCCTCAGCATAATGTGGAAGGTTCTGGAATATTTTAGGCTCCAGGGGTGGAGCCAGGAAACTGCACCTTCGGCAAACTCTCAGAGAGTATGTGGTAACCTCTGGAATGTAGAGATGAGCAGCGACCGTCCTAAATAAACTAAGACACAACTTGATTCACATCCTAGGTCTTATCGGTAAGAGCACCATGGAATACTAAATGCACCCCAAATAGAGCCAGGAGTGATCTGCAAACAGAACCAGGAGGAAGCAGTACACAAGAACAGTGATGTTCTTTACAATAGTGAAAAACTAGACAGTCCCATCATCCAGCAACAGTGGACTAAATTACAGGTAATGTGTTCGCCCAAGGATTAGCCAGCTATTAAAAAGGTGACATGGGGGAGGGCGGCAGGTGGTGTGGTGGTTAAGGGTGTTGGACTCCCACATGGCCAACTTCGGTTCAAGTCCTGGACCTGGTGGCCTGCTTTCTCACTCTCTCTCTGGTCAAATTAAAATAAAGTTTAAAAATAATTCTTTAAAAACAAACAAACAAACATGGGAAGCCACACACACATATTTACAGAGAAAGACCAAGTGTGATAGCTGATCTCCATAGACTTCCCAACCGAGCCTGGTATTCACAGCCTGGTGTGGTTCCCACACACAGTGCACCTGGGCTTGCCATCTGATCTTTTCTAACCAAGAACATGGTACAAGTGATGCCATTCTGCTTTTACACTTTTGGGAAACCTGAGCTATCAGGAAGTCTGTACACCTTGCTGAAGAGGGCCTGTGAAGTGTTGGACTCCCACATGGCCAACTTCGGTTCAAGTCCTGGACCTGGTGGCCTGCTTTCTCACTCTCTCTCTGGTCAAATTAAAATAAAGTTTAAAAATAATTCTTTAAAAACAAACAAACAAACATGGGAAGCCACACACACATATTTACAGAGAAAGACCAAGTGTGATAGCTGATCTCCATAGACTTCCCAACCGAGCCTGGTATTCACAGCCTGGTGTGGTTCCCACACACAGTGCACCTGGGCTTGCCATCTGATCTTTTCTAACCAAGAACATGGTACAAGTGATGCCATTCTGCTTTTACACTTTTGGGAAACCTGAGCTATCAGGAAGTCTGTACACCTTGCTGAAGAGGGCCTGTGAATGGGACCAGCAGTTAGCGTAATGGCTATGTCGCTGGACTCCCATGTAGTCGACCGCGGTTCAAGTCCCAGACCTGGTGGCTTAAACTCATGCTGGGCACGTGTGCGTGCATGCCCAAGATCCCAAGAGGAGAATGAAGGAGGATTAATGGCGTGGACATCCCCCCTGGGGGTTGATTTCTCGCTTTCTGTCTCTGTCTTTCTGGCGAGTGCACAAGCCCTATAGCAAAAACCTCTTAAAAAAAAAAAAAAGAGCGCGTGCGCCTGTGAAAACAAGAAGCCCAAAACCACAGAGGCCAGCTCTCTTAGCATCTCCCCAGTGCCAGCATCACCTTGAATGTTCCAGCCCAGTCAAGCCTCCAGCTGGAGAGCAGAACCACCTAGCTGGGCCTTGTCAACACAGACCTGAGGTGGAAAATGGCTTAAGTGTTGGCCACATAGCCTAGAGGTTGAGTTGGATCACACTTTCCTGTGGTTTGAATCCTGACCCCATGAGGAACACAGTAGGTGTACATGTGCATGTGCACCCCAAATCATGATGGGATGGAGAAATGGAGCAGACTGGGGTGTGGCCATGTCTAACCAAGGGGTGCTTTCTTCTCTCTGTACTGAGTGCACACCCTCTGGCAATTTATATATTGGATTGTCAGAAAAGTCACGGATCTCTGCATAGAAAAATACATCATGACTTTTCCGACAACACAATATATTTTTAAATTTTTTGTTTTAGGGAGCAAGAGAAAGTATAGGGTCACCCAATAGAGGGGATGGCCACACCACAGTTCCTTGCCCATTCTCTTGGGATTTTGAGCACACATGTGCACGTGCCTGGTGTTTTTTTCAAGCCTCTGGGTCTGGGACTTGAATCACACAGCAGGCCATGTGAAATCCAGTACCTTAACTTCCATGCCACCTGCTGCACCTCTTCTGGCAATGCAATAATAAAAAAGAAAACAGGCTCTTTACTTGCCATCTTGCAGCAGCCATCGGTAAGCCAAGGTGAGTGTATACAGGTACACTCGGGAACTATGGAAGCAGCAGCAGTCTGATGTGATGCATTTTCTGAGGGTCTGTTGCTGGCAGTACAGCCTGCCATATACGGGATTCATGTGCATCGTGGAGGCCACAGATGCCCAGCTCCCAAGGATGCAACCTATGGCAAGCCCATCATGGTGTTAACCAGCTGAAGTTTGCTTGAAGCCTCCAATCAATCTACTGCAGTGGAGTAGAGCTGGATGCCATTGTCGGGCACTTAGTCCTAAATCCTTACTGGGTTGGTGAGGGAAGATTCCACAAATTCTTTGAGGTTATCCTCATTGACCCATTCCATAAAGCTATCAGAAGAAACCCTGACACCCAGTGGATTACCAAACCAGTCCCCAAGAACAGGAAGACCAGTGGGCTGACATCTGCAGGCTGCAAGAGCTGTGGCCTTGGAAAAAGACACAAGTTCCACCATACTTTTTGGGGTTCTCACCATGCAGCTTGAAAGATACAATACTCTCCAACTCCACTGTCATTGCTAATATAAGAAGTGTTTGTAAAATTCATACCTAATAAACAATTTAGTACAGTCAAAAAAGAATACAAGGAAATGGATTAAAATAGCTACATGGGAGGGGGGGTTGGGATGGGTGGTGGTGGTGGTGGTACCGTTCCACAGCAGTAGCTAACCAGAAAAGCAGGCTACAAGATGGCACACGGAGCACCTACATGGGGGGGTGGTGGGATGGGTGGTGGTGGTACCGTTCCACAGCAGTAGCTAACCAGAAAAGCAGGCTACAAGATGGCACACGGAGCACCATCTCAGCTGGTGAAACACACACAATGAAGAGGACAGAGACTGACCAGACTGCTTTCCTGCTTTATTGTTTTGATGACTTTTTAGGTTCTATACAATGAACACGTACTACTTGCTTAAGAAAACACCGTGGGGGCCAGCAGGTGGCGTAGTGGCTAAGGGCATTGGCTTCCTAACATGGCTGCCCATGGCTTAAGTCCCAGACATAGCAGGTTGGTTTCTCACTTTCCTTCCCTCTTTCTCTCTGGTCAAAGAAATAATAAAAAAGTGAAATAATTCTTAATAAAAAAAGCTGCTGTGGATGAATGAGAGCATCTACTTGGCACATCCCCACCCCTACTTCTATCCTCCGGCAGGTGACCCTATTAACAGCAAGATCCTTCTCAGCAATGGAGCTCTGGGGAACAGTCCTGAAGGAATCAAATCTCCCTTTATTTCCCCACTCTTCAACCCAACAGACCTTTCTCTAGACCACTAATGAACACCAAGACCATCTTCTCCTGAAGATGGGCAGCACAGTGCCTTCAGCCTTGACACGCCTGCTGCACCGACGTTCCTGCTCCACCTCCCCAGTTCCCCACCTCTCTGGCTATGGGTTGTCACTATCGGGTTACTACTGAGATGATGAAAATCAGAGGGGGACAGAGGTCAGCCAAGACAGTTCAGATCTATTTGCTTAGCCAGAAAATACACAGAACAAGGGACAGATAACAGGTGCCTGGTTTTAGCTGCTGAACTCTGTCCCTGTGAGGAATCAGGCCTAAGGGGACCCTTCTTTCAGTTTATATACCTGAGTGATGCAATGGTGCAGAGCAGGGCTTGGGGAGCAGTTATTGATAGGCTTTGAGTATTTTATAATGTTTCAGAAATAAGAGGCTGACAGGTGGCATGGTGGTTAAGAGTGCTGGACAACCACATGGTCAACTGTGTGGTTTAAGTTCCAGACCTGGAGCTTGTTTTTTCACTTTCCTTCTCTTTCTCGTTTTCACTGTCCCTCTCTGGTCAAATTAAAATAAATGAACAGTTAAAATAATTCTTAAAAAAAAAAAAGTTTCAGAAATAAACATTTAGACTTTCTTGAAGCTACTGATCAAACCATGCTTCCTTCAGTCTTTAAGTATTGTTCTATTTTGTTATTCTAAAAATTATGAGGAAAGATGAGAGCAAGCAATCAGATCTGGGACTCGAACCATGGTAAGCCATGTGGGAGTCCAGCGCCTCAACCATCATACCACCAGCCGGCCCTGTTCTGATTTATTAAGAGGTAATAAGCACTTTGAAGCCCACTGTAACAGGGAAGAAAGCACATTTATAGAAAGGACCTTGAAAAAGAAAATCAGATCACTTTTATTGACGCACCAGTAGACCAACTCAGCTTTGGAAGGGATGACGATGTTAATACAGTAATTGTCATCAAAGCAAATGAAAATACAAAGGTATCTGAAATGGCTTTACAGTGACATGATGCCTTAATAAATTAAGGAAACTGGTTGCTCATTAATAGCTCTCTCATTTCATATTCTTCACAAAGTCTTCTCCTTTCTTGATTGAGGCTTTCAGCTCAGGAATGGCCTCGGCTATCATCTTCTCTTCGAAAGAGGAGACTTTGCCGATGCCGAGATTCTTCTCGATGCCCTTTTTCTGAAGGAGAGAGGGGAGGCAGTAAGATTTTAAACAAAGTTTTCATGCGTGAGTTTGCTAGACAATCCACCTGGTAACTTCATCAGCTCTGCTAGACTGTCCATACCTACTGCCCGGGAACAGGGGCTAGAGCCAGAGTTGGGAGCTCAGGCTTCAGAGTCAGAAAGCCCTAGGTTGGGAATCCCGGCTCTGTCACTGTGCAGGTACCATGGAAATTACCCGCATCCCAGGTTTGTGTCCTCGTCTTAGATGAGTACCACCCACCTTAGAGGAGCTGCGAGAGTGTCAAGGACAACTTGACATAGCCTCGGTCCACACAGCATTCAACTGTTCAGAGCACTCAATACTCTCTCCCTGTCAAAGCATACTTTGGGTTCCAGCCTCTTCTCCTAGTTGGTAAGACTGAAGAAAATCTGAATACTCACCTGAACGAGATGTAAGCCAAGGACGTAAATGATCTTAGAAAAGACAGCAGGTGTCTCTTCCCACACTAAGCACTGTTTGTGCCCCAGCAGCCTCAGTTTCAGTGTGATCTCCTGGGAAGCCTTATCTGGCTCTGAGATGATCGGACTTATCTGCAGGTCCCACCACCCTCGTACACACTGCACTGACCTGAGAATGGAACTAAACTGTTTAGTGTCTGTCTCTGCACTACACAGAGCCCACGAGGCCTGGGGCCTTGAACACTCATGTGTCCACTGGGAAGGCCCCCAGGAAGACCAGTATGATGTGAGACTTACTTTCTAGATACAGGATGAAGGCTACTAAAAACAATTTGCCTAATTTCTGCATCTGCCCATACAGAAGAAATGAAAACCTGGCCTAGTGGTTTGTGAGTGAAACCTGGGAGTTTTTGCTCACTGAAGACTCAGTGTTGGACTAGGGGCCAACAGATGGCATAGTGGTTAAGGTGCTGGACTCCGACATGGCTGACCATGGTTCAAGTCCGGGACCCAGTGGCTTGAGACACCAGGTGCCTGTGCACATGTGCCCAAAAGCCCAAGAGGAGAATTGAGGAAAAGGGACTGTGACATATTCACCCCCTTTGAGGAGTGATTTCCCATTTTCTCTCTGGTGAGTACATGCACCCTATAGCAAAAATCTCCCCCAAAATAAATAAATAAAATTTTAAAAGCTGCCTGGATTAGACAGCGGCCCTAGAACAGCATAGCAGAAGCAAGCAACGTGACAGATGGGTTCCATTCTAGGGCATATTTCTAGGAGAAAAACCGGTGGGGTGAGGAGCAAGGAACCAGAAATGGCTGGAACAGAAAGGATGCAGCTGTGTGGTATCTCTAGGAATCCTGGGGGAAGAACTAGGCTCTGCAGGTCCCGAAGCCAGGACAAAAGGAACAAGTACGAGCTGCAGGGTGGCAGCATTCAGGCCATTTCTCAGCCTCTGCTGGCTGCCCTGAGATGGAGCATCTAGTCAGTTCACCCACGGAGGCAGCCGTGCATGACCAGCTATCAGTCCTCGCAGGAGGAGATTCGCCTCCACGGTGGATTTCTCCCAGTTCTTAATTCTGTGCTTCCACACCCAAAAACCCAAGCACACACCAGGCAGTGACATGCAGTTACTGCACAACGAAAATGTGAATTATGGAGCGAATAGACAGGGATGAGCTCCTGAATCTTAGACAAGGTAACTCTCCTTCATCCATAGCTGAAAGGACCAACTTCCAGGATACATACCCCTAGCAGTAACGGTGTGGAGAAATAGGTACAGTCCGTCTCCTGTGACTTAACAAAGGAACACTCGACAACTCCTTCCTTCCCATTCATTGCGTCCACAAGGGAGAAGACAAACCGGGCACCGGCATATGCCATGGACAGAGTGGCAGAGCCTAGGAGGGAACAGGAAGATTACCAAGCTGGGATTGTGACCTTTAATAAAATGCAGGTGAGCCTGCTCTCTGAGCTAAAGCATTTGTAAATTCTCTAGGTTACCAGTTAGAGTACTGAGGGCGGCATCCCTTAATTTTACTAACAAGTGGCATGGTATTAGCTTGCCCAACCTTAAAAATTGCTCCCATTCCACAAATTAAGCTGAACTGCCTGCCCTCTCATAAAGAGCTTTCTTATCAAGTGAATGAGAATGGAACACAGGAAACGATCCACTCCTTGCTCAAGGACGAGCAGTTGTTCTCTGCAACTCTGAACAGGGCCTTGGGCATCTGCACCCACCCCCAGGGGTGGCCTCTAAGATTCTACCTGCTCCGGCTTTAGCCTTGACCACCTCCGTGCCTGCCTCCTGGATGCGTCCAGTGAGCGTTGTCAGCTGGTCCTGGGGAAAGTCCACCTTGGGCGTGCACTGCAAGCCAAGGCCAAGGGACTGTGTGAGCCACCCTGGTTGTCACTGGATGCAAAGCCCCAGTCCCCGTCTTTCCCCACCCTCCTCACAGTGGGGTCCCTCTCATCACCAATGCACAATTACCCCAGGTCTTGTTTGCTTGGGTCTAGGGATCCATTTATAGAAAAATGACAAAAGACAAATCAACTTTGTTGGGAGACTTGGCAAGGCGCCTACTCATTAAAAACAAAACAAAATTAAAAACAGGGTCTTGGGTCATTGGATGGCAAGGTGGGTAATGTGCGGCACATCCACATCACCGACCATGGTTCGAGTCCTGGACCTGGAGGCTTAAGCTTGTGATTCTACCTCTGTCTCGGAAGTTGCAGGTACTACAGATGTGTGCCACCGCACCTGATCTTTAGGTCGGAGCAGGAACTGAACCTGGGCCTCCCATGTGGTCCCAGCCTGAGGAGCACAGAGTCTTAGCAGCATACGCCACTGTGGCTGGACCCTCCCCCTCCTACACACTCATTTTTAAAGAACTTTTCACATTTTCAATTAATTTTATAGAAAAACTCTAAAAATAACACAGATTTCCCTCATATGGCTTATCCTGTTAATATTTTATATACCCATTGTGTAATTATGAAGACCAGTGCATTTCTAAATTACAGACCTCATTCAAATTTCACCAATGTCCCCACTACTGCCCTTTTTCTACTCTGGGGTTCGAGTTAGGGATCTAAAACTCGACCTTACAATTCAGCTCATCTACTTTGTAATAGTTCCTTAGCCTTTCTTTATCTTTCTTGACCCCTGTACTCATCACTTGTATTTTGTAGCCTGGCCACCAAGTCAGATGTGTGACATGTGTCCTTATAATCTGCATGTTGGGCAAAAACATCATGAAAATTTTGTGACCTTCTTGGTGCATTATTTCCAGGGGTTATGAGGTTCACGTGACATATGTTGGTCCTATTGGTGCTAACCTTGTTTCTATTTATTTTTAAATAAATCGCTTTCGCTTGCTTGGATCTACCCAGGAATTCAGTGATGTTCCCAACGGCGGCTCCCCTGTGCGTCAGAGCTGGCTACTCTGCACACCTTCTGACCGCATTCCCACCACAGATCCCTGTCAAGAAAGCCCCAGACAGACTCGGGGTGGGGGTGGGGGACTGGATTCTTATAGGAATCCTTTCAAAATACACCGACAGCTCCACCTTCTTCAGCCTGGAGTGCCTCAAGGCAGACCGTGAGGTAAGCTCCTTGCAAGGCCACACACGTACCTGAGAGATCAGGGGGATGATGGTCTTTCCAGCGTGGCCGCCGATTACAGGAACATTGACTCGAGCTGGATCCAAATTCTGGTCACCAAAGTGCAGTTTGATTACACTGTCAGTAAGCTCCGTGAGCATAAAACTTGTTACCCCACCCAAGGCATCAACACTGGGAAAACCCAGAGAGTTTGGAACAAACAAATCAAGAACCATCTCAACCCCAGCTGTTCTTAGGTTTCAGCACCACCAAATGGCTAAATACCAGTGTGAACAGGTGCAGTGAGGACTAGATCATGGCCTGGAGAGGTCATTATGGGTTCTTCCTCTGCCATGAGCTAAAACTGAACTTCTTGCAGGGGCCTGCTGAGAGTCTAACACCCTCTCAGAATAAGAGGTTGACAGTCTTCTTTTCCAGAGATAACGTCATTATCCATGTGCAGGCCAAATTCATGTTCCCATACTTTGCCACAAAGATTAAATCAAATTCCTTTTCCCTCATTTCAGAGAGAAATTCAAATCTACTTCAGGAAACGCATAGGTAAGAAGTTTAGTAAAAGATTTTCGGACAGAAGGAGCAAAAGAGTTGTCAGGGATCAAAATACCACGGTATGGGCCAGCCTACGGATTAGTGGTTAAGGGAGCAGGATACCACATGGGCATGGTTCGAGTCCTGGCCCTGAAAGCTTGGAAAATGAGATTGATGGGGCCAGGTAGTGTGGAGGTTAAGGCAGCTATATCCCACATGGCCAACTATGTGGTTTGAAACCTACACCCAGCAGCCTGAAAAACACGCCAGGTGCATGTGTGAGCATGCCCAAATTCTCAAGGGGAGAAGGGATTACAGTGTGGCCATATTTCCTAGGAGAGTGCTTTCTTACTTTTCCTGTCTCTCCAACCAATGAAGTGCATGTGCCCTATGGTCAAAAAAAAAAAGAAAAAAGAAAAAAAAGAAAAGCACAAGGTGTGTATGCATTTGTGTCCGAAACATTGGTGGGATAGAGAAATGGAGTCCCTCTCTGGTAAGCATGTGCCCTCTGGCAATTAAAAAAAAAAAACAAGCTGAACCAAAATAAATTTAAAAGAAAAAAGAGGGAGGGCTCAAATTAGTAGGGCCTATGAAGAGAGGCTGATTCCTTTGTTAAACTGTTACCCACGCTATTTCTTAAAAATAGACAAGAAAGGGGCCAGCAGGTGGCACGGTGGTTAAGGCACTGGACTTCCACATGACCGACCAAGGTTCAAGTCCTAGACCTGGTGGTTTGCTTTCTCACTTCCTCTGTCTGTCTGTTCTCTGGTGAATGCATGTGCCCTATAGCAAATAAAAAATAATAGTAAATAAAACTAAATAATTCTTTCTTTCTTTCTTTTTTTTTTGAGAGAGATTTTTGCTATAGGGTGTGTGCACTTGCCAGAGACAGAAAGTGAGAAATCACTCCCTGGGGGAATGGCCATGCCACAATCCCCTCTCCTTCATTCTCCTCTTAGGATCGTGGGCACAGATGCACTAGCGCCGGCGTGTTTTCAGCCTCTGGGTTGAGGACTTGGACTGTGGTTGATTATGAGGGAGTCCAGCAACCCAACCATTACGCCACCTGCTGGTCCTAATGAATATTTCTTAAAGGAAAAAAAAAGAGCCCGGTGGCAATTATGACAGGGAGTTGAGTAGTTTCCAAAACAATGCCACCTGCCTTAAACACCAGAGCTGCTGAAGAGACCAGTGCTAAGTTAGGAAACATGCCTTGCCTAGAAAAGGGAGGGCTAATTTGCTCACAAGTTGGCAAACCAAGCAGGATAAGCTCTGGGGCGTGGGAAGCTCAGAACAAGAGCATCCGCAGCACGTGGGGTATACACGCCAAGGCAGGTGCTGGCCACCAGGGACCCATGGGTGAACAGACACAGCCCTGCCTGGAGAAGCTTGTCGTCTAACACGAAAGGCAAACACAGAGGGACATCTCAGTGGCATCTGAGGTAGTCACACAGGCGCAGTCTGAACCCTGAATCACTGGGAAGAGGGCAGGCAGCGTGAGCCACATAGAGACAGAAGCTGCAGGTACCTGTGGTAGAGAGTCTCCAAGAAAACATGGATGCTGCTTTCTACCAAGGTGGGCAAGAGATAAAAACATTTGAAAAACTTTCGAGACAAATGGCCTAAGTGCCCTGCTATCTTCTGTGCCTGTAAAGGAGCAAGGGTGGCGGAAAAGTTCAGAAAAGTAAACTGAACAACACCCAGCACAGGCCCTTACCTTCAGTTCAGCAACAAAAGTGTTGGCTCTGACGATGTCCAGGGTGGTCACACCGAAGATTTTACTGGGGTTGTATACTCCATGTTTCTTGAAAACTTCCGATGTGATCGGAATGGTGGAGTTAACCTAGTAAATTCAGGAAAGAAGTGTGGTTTGTTCTGCAGTCTGAGAGTACAGATCTTTCCATGACCACTAACAAGTCTGACAGTGCCCACTTAAATTGCCCTGTCTGATAATTGTTTATATGTGACATAGGATGGGTCACATCACATAATGCAATCAGAGAGCCTTATTACAGTCTGTCTGCTGCAGGTAGTTACCAATTTTAAAATGTCAGGCTGGTGCCACAAGGTACTTTCTGCTTGGCTGGGCTACACTGGAACAACTTTTCCCAATTACAGATAGTAGTAAAATCAGCTCTGAAGAACGAGGGTCAAAATCCCAGCACTGTCCCTCTGTGTCCCAATCCTGGACTGGTTACCTAACCTCTCTAGGACTAGGACTTGGTTTCTCTATCAGTAAATGAGGGAAATGTCAACTACCTCATGAAGATCAAGTAGCTTCACATCAGTTAAGTGCTTCACACATTACAAAAGAAGAATAAAACTAAACAGCAATTACATCAGGCACTATTTAAGTGCTTCCCAATACAAGCAACAGCTACCACCAGCTTTAACCACCCTCCTCAAGGACAGTGAGCCAGCAGGAAGCACAAGCTCTGGGTGTTCAGCAGCAGCCATGTCCCTCACTGCACCTTCCCCAGGACCCACATCCAACCAGGAGATAGAGGGCTGCTTCTCAGTGTAATACCAGGCCCTGCCAGGACAGATATGGAACCAGAGCTGTCCTCTCAGCGAGGATACAGCACTTGGGAGTTTCTGAGTAGAACAAGCCACCTGCAAAAACTAGGGAGCAGGGCCTGAGGTGGCTGTGCATGAGGAGACAGTGATAATGGGGAAATGCAAACACTGAGTAAAATTCAATGAAAAAAAAGAGGGCCAATCAGCCCCCACAATCATGGCTGAAAGAAGCTCTAAGAGTGGACGTGGAGGCCCAGCTGGGGTGGTACAGGCGGTAGGGTACTGCTCTGTGATACTGGTACCATATGGGAATCCTGGGTTCAGATCCTAGGTCGACCTGAGCACGCCATGCCTGCCCATCTACACCTGTGAACCTGGCTGGCTGGGCGCTGGGGGTAGGATGGGGGTATGGTGAGACCCTGTCAGGAGTTTCTTTCTTCCTTTCTCTCAACAATAATGAATAAAGAAACCTATAAACAAACAAAAATACTTATTTCCCAGGAGGGGAAATTGAGATACAGATTTGCCAGAGGTACAGTTAATTGGTGGAAGAACCAGGTTAAAACTTGTATTTCAGGACCAGCAGTTGGCATAGTGGCTATGTCGCTGGACTCTCTTGTAGTTGACCATGGTTCGAGTCCTGGACCTGGTGGCTTAAACTCACGCTGGGCGCGTGTGCGTGCATGCCCAAGATCCTGAGAAGAGAATGAAGAAGGGATTGTGGCATGGCCATCCCCCTTGGGGGGTGATTTCTCGCTTTCTGTCTCTGGTGAGCACATGCGCTCTATAGCAGAAACCTCTCTAAAAAAACTCCCCCAAAAAACAAAAACTCATATTTCATCTACATCAGATGGCATCTTTGGGAAATAGGTTTAAGGACCTCTTATTAGTACACCCAACTCACCCATCTCAGCACGTTAATCTGCTTATTCTCCCCACAAGCACATTAGCCGACTTTTGCTAACTGCGAGCTCTAGCACCGTACCAGGACTGGCCCGCTGTTACAGTGGTAAGAGCCAGGCCTGCAGCACTCACCGGGTTGGCGATGACGCAGATCATGGCTTCAGGACAGTGCTGGGCACAGGCTGCAGCCAGGGTGGCCACAATTGTGGCATTGGTGTTGAACAGGTCATCTCGCGTCATGCCTGAAATCACCCAACTCGAGATGTTCACAAAGCATGTGACAATTTTCCAAAGAGGTGCCAGGCACGATGTGCTAGGTTTTACGGAATTTCAACCACAGGCAAGATGGGGGTCCTACTTCCAATAACTCTCTCTTGTGAGGAAGACAACCCAGTGACAAGTGCCAGGATAGAGGTCTGTGGGGATGGATTGTGGGGAGAGGCACCAGGGAGGGTGATGGCCGAGAAGGTTCATCAAGAACTAATAGTCCCCAAGGTAGAGCTGGTGGAGGGAAGGGCACTCCATGTATGGAGGCATAGGATGAAACAGGAACAGCAAGACAGCGGGGCAGGGGAACACAGTAGACACCCAACGGCTTAGAAACACCAGGCCAATAAGGAGATCTGACCCTTAGCTCATGGGCAGTGGAGAGTCTCTGGATTTTTTTTCTTCAGCAGAGAGATCAAATTAAATCTATTTTTTTTAAAAATTTATTTAACTTCCCAACGGCTTAGAAACACCAGGCCAACAAGGAGATCTGACCCTTATCTCATGGGCAGTGGGGAGTCTCTGGATTTTTTTTCTTCAGCAGAGAGATCAAATTAAATCTATTTTTTTTTTTAAATTTTATTTAACTTTTAAAAATTTGTCTTAATTTGACCAGAGAGAGACAGAGAAAAATTTATTTAACTTTTAAAAATTTATTTGTCTTAATTTGACCAGAGAGAGACAGAGTGAGTGAGAGAGAGAGAGAGAGGGAGGGAAAGTGAGAAAGCAAGCCACCAGGTCCAAGACTGTGGTCGGCCACGTGGGAGTCCAGTGATCTTAACCGCCAAGCCATCTGCTGGCCCCAGGATTAAATCTATTTTTAATGTAAAGCCACCCTCTCACTTTACTTGTAGGGAGGTGACTTACACATACATACCTGGTTTTCTGGGGACTCCAGCTGGAATAACCACCACATCGCAACCTTTTAGGCAGTCTGGTAGTTGTTCGGGCCCAAGGTAGCCTAGAAAAAGCCCCAAAGAAGCATTTCACTGTTTGATCCAGAGAGGCCAGCACTTCTATGGGGACAAAGCCCGGGAAGGATGGCTCCTAACTGGGCTCATTCCCAGCCAAAGGCCTCAAGCAGGACTTGAAGATCTCGCCTGTAAGCTGACTACCTCCCACTGACAACTAGCGCCTGCCTGGTGAGCTGACAGACCTGGAGAGCAGGAACATTTCCCTTTTGCTCCACCCTCCGCTGCCCTCTCCCTGCCCAGGTCCCCTTTTAGAATAAACTAGTCTTCTAGGTTTCCACAAAATGGAACCAACTCATTCACTGTCTTTATCCTGTTCACCAGCACTTGGTCATTCTCAGCCTCCAGTCAGAAGAGCTGCTCATTCCACTCTATCATCCTGACAGAACTCCCTCAATCTGAGTTCTGAGGTCAGAAGACACACTGAAGGCCATGAAAGAAAAGCCCTTACGAGCCTGTTTACTCCTCTCATCTGAGGGAAAAAGTATGTTTTCAAAGATGTCAAGGAAATTTGCTACAATATCCAAAATCTGCTTTGATTTTGACTTTTTTCTTCTTGCAGGAGCTTTCAAAAACTCAAGTATAGGGAATCAGCAGTTAGCGTAATGGCTGTCGCTGGACTCCCACGTAGTCGACCGCGGTTCACGTCCCGGACCTGGTGGCTTAAAACTCACGCCGGGCGTGTGTGCGTGCATGCCCAAGATCCCAAGAGGAGAATGGAGGAGAAGGGATTGCGGCGTGACCATCTCCCCTGGGGGTGATTTCTCGCTTTCTATCTCTCTGTCTCTCTCTGTCTGGCGAGCGCACGCGCCCTATAGCAAAAACCTCTCAAAAAAAAAAAAAAAAAAAAAGCTCAAGAATACAGCTCAAAGGAAAGTGCGCACAAACACAAGGAGAGCTATGTAAGACATAAACACATGACTCAGGGGAACCAGCAGTTAGCGTAATGCATCAAATGAAAGCCCATGTGAGCGCTATCAAACATTTTTTTTTTTTTAAAGGTTTTGGTCATAGGGAACATGTGCTTGCCAGAGAGGAGACACATAACGTGATAAATCACTCCACGGGGGGAAGGCCATGAGAGACAGAACGTGATAAATCACTCCCCGGGGGGGGGGAAGGCCATGCCATAGTCCCTTCTCCATTCTCCTCTTGGGATTTTGGGCATGCACGCACAGCTGCCCAGTGTGATTTTCAAGCCACCATGTCCAGGGCTCAAATCGCAGTCAACCATGTGGAAGTCCAGCACCTTGACCACGATGCCACCTGTTGGTCCCTCAAACATGTTTTTATACACTTGTCAGTAGAGAAAAATATGTATAATTTGCAACTTTGTAGTAAACACTTTGAAACAGTCACTTCTATTAATTCTAATACTGTAAAAACAAGATATAAAGAAACTTATGACGGGGCCAGCAGGTGGCATGGTGGTTAAGGGTGCAGGACTCCCATATGGCCAACTGTGGTTCAAATCCCAAATCTGGTGGCTTATTTTCTCACTTTCCCTCCCTCTCTCTCACTCAGTCCCTCTCTGGTCAAAATGAAATAAACAAATAAATATAGTTAAATAAAAAAATTTTTAAAAAGATACCTATGACAAGTTTAGTACATTTATACTAGATGTGATGGCTAATTTTCAGTGTCAATTTGACTGGATTGAGAAATGTCTGACTGGATGCTGACACAATGTTCCTGAGTGTGTCTGTAAAAGCCTTACCAGACAAGACCGGTGTGTGAGTCAGTGGGCTGAGAGAAGACCCAGCTTCGATCTGGGCTGGGAGCACAGCAGAGATGAAAGGGGAGGTTATTTCCTCTCTCCTTCCCTCTTTCTGAACTCATCCTTCCAGAACCTCCTGTGTTCCACTCTTACTACCTGCTCCATCCCTGCTCTGCAGCTTGACCCTAAACAACATCTGGTTCCCCTTAGCACTTGGCCCTGTGCCCTTTCGGCCAGACTCCAGCCCATTCTGGAACTTCTCCATCTAGTAATCATGTGAGATAATTTCTGTAATAAATGTTTTCATTTATTCATATATATACACACACATAAATAAAAATGTATATTTTATAAATATTATGTATAATATGTAACTAAAGTGTTGTGCTCATATAATACACACATACTTTATCCTGTTGGTTCTGTTTCTCTGGAGAACCCTGACCAATACAGTAGAACAAAACAGAAAACAGCACAATGATCAACAAGGATGGTTCTAGGCCCAGCCATGGTGCTGCAACACTTTGCAACGCTGGAAACCATATGGGAGATCAAAGTTTGCTTCCCAGGTCAACTTATACAAGCCAGGCATGCTTGTGCCTATGATCCTGGCTGGATGGGAAGGCTGGAGAATGTGGAGATGAGGCCCTGTTGAGGGTGCTTGTATTTCTCTCTCTCATGAGCTATACAAAGTCAAAAAAAAAAAAAAAAAATCCCAGGGACATCCAGGGGAATGTGTGTTAAGGAGGTCCCACATGACTGACCACATGGTTTGAGTCCTAGACTCAGCAGCTTGAAAAACACACTGGGTGTGTGTGCGTGTGTGTGTGTGTGTGTGTGTGTGTTCAAAACAGAGAAAGAGAAAGGATTGTAAGACCAGAGAAAGGACTGTGGTGTGGCCATTCCCCCCTGGGGGGGAGGGTTCTCGTTTCCTCTCTCTGGCAAGTGCATGTGCATGTGCATTATACTAAAACAAACGACAAAAATCACAGTACAGCTTTTAAAATGACTTTATCAAGAATTTGGTGACATGGAAAAATACTGATATATTATGAAGATCAGATATGCAGGATATACTTTTGAGACCAGCAGATGGCATAATGGCTACGTCACTGAACTCCCATGCACCCAACCGCAGTTCGAGTCCCGGACCTGGTGGCCTAAACTCACGCTGGGCATGTGTGCAAGAGTGCCCATGATCCCGAGAGGAGAATGGAGAAGAGGTTGCGGCATGGCCATCTTCCCTGGGGGGTGATTTCTCACTTTCTCTCTCTCCATCTCTCTCTGTCTTTCTGGCATCTCTCTCTGACTTTCTGGCATGTGCACATGCCCTGTAGCAAAAACCTCTCCAAAAAAACTCACTATATACTTTTCAATGACTTTTTTGGACAATATACCCATATTTACTGAACAGTCCAGGAACTGCCTTAGGGCAGATTTCCTTATAAAGACTGTGCTTTGGAGAAGCTGGTCAAGGAAACATTGGGGATGGAGAAACAGCACTCTCCCCCCCACCCCCAGCACTTTCTATTGCCCCAAATCCCTGTAAGAGGTTCCTGACCACTTCTTATTTACCTCTGTTATACTGTTTTTCAAATCAGAAAAAGTAAACAAACAAGAAAGTGTGCATGTGCTATTAGACTCCAGTGTTTTTCAAAAAGACATTGCTGTCTAAATTTTTATAGGTCCCAGTCCAAAAAGGTATAATCATTTGTAAAATTTATTTATTTGAGAGAGATTTTTGCTATAAGGTATGTACGCTAGCCAGAGAGACAGAGACAGAAATTGAGAAATCACCACCACCACCCTCAAGGAGGGATGGCTCTGCTGCAATTCTTTCTTTCATTCTCCCCTTGGGATTTTGGACATGCACGCATATGTACCTGACATGAGTTTTAAGCCACTGGGTCAGGGGACTCGAACAACAGTTGGTCATACAGGAGCTCAGTGCCATAACCACTACACACAACAGTTGGCCATACAGGAGCTCAGTGCCATAACCACTACACCACCTGCTGGTCCCTGTAAAATTTAATTCTAAAATGAACATGAAAGCCCCAAGTCTCTAAACATCTACTTTCACTCTCTTTCTGAAACTTGGATCCTGGTCTATTGGGGAGAGAAGAAAGCAGTCTCCCAGGTCAGCATGCCCAGTACCTTTCACATTCGCTCTGGTTTCAATGTGGCTCAGGTCCGCAGCCACCCCGGGCGTATGAGCAATATCGTAGAGGGTCAGTCGGCTCACTAAGGGGCTGTTCTTCAGGAGAAGCGAAAGAGGCTGCCCAATTCCTCCAGAAGCCCCTAGCATGGCTACTTTAGCATTACTCTAAAAAAAAAAAAAAAAAGCACAAAAAAACACTCTTAGGGTGGAGCAAACATTACAAGGATTCACGTGGCATCCTGCAAAAATATCACACCAGGCTGCTTTTACTGCAGTGGTGCCAAGGCAAGATACAATCATTGCATTTCTACCAGTTTCATTCCGGTATAATTTTGGACTTTCATCCAAAGGTCCAGTTCCCAACAGGTAGAACTTTCACCTGTAGATGATGTTGTACTCAGGGTCATATTCCAAAAACCCCTGTGAAAGAGAAGTAACAAGTCTGACTAGTAACCGCACCGGTACCTTCTGTCTGAAGTTTTAAAAACTGTAAACATTCACTGAGTGCCTAAGACCAGTCACACCACTGTACCTGGGGCTGTGGGAACAAGGAAGATCCCTGCTGCTATGGAGGAATCAAGCAATCAGATGCATTAGAAGTGGGTGGAAAAGAGGGACGCTGTGTGAGAGAGCAGAGGAAGCACAACCAACTGTCTGGGAGATGGGAAATCAGGGAAGATTTCAACCCGGGCAGCAAAGTCTTGGAGGAAGATCCCTGCTGCTATGGAGGAGTCAAGCAATCAGATGCATTAGAAGTGGATGGAAAAGAGGGACGCTGTGTGCGAGAGCAGAGGAAGCACAACCAACTGTCTGGGAGATGGGAAATCAGGGAAGATTCCAACCCGGGCAGCAAAGTCTTGGTAAGGGCCTGAGGCAGGTTGAGGAGCTAACAAGAGCAAAAGGGGAAATGTACATGCATTTCAAAAGGTTCCTTCTCGAACAGGGGAGTCAGACCTATACTCTCAGGGCCCAGTATCCCACGTCTACTTGTTAACATTGCAATCACAATCACCTGTTGGGCTAATGCAGCCCAGAGGGTCAGGCTCCAGGACAGGGCTCTGGCCTGTGTACTTGTACTAGGCTCCCCAGGAGACTGCAACATGGACTCAAGTTTGAGAAGCCGGCTCCGTACCAAGCTCAGAAGAACGAGCAGCAGTGGGCCCTGAGTGTTTCAGCTTTGAACGGTTAAAAAAGGAGATGAGGTGGTCACTGGGCCCCTGAAATGGGAGGCAAAAGAGACCAGTCTGCTTCATCAATATCTACAAGGCCAGAGCAAGAAGAATTCATATCAGCATATTTGTAACTTACTGGGACTAAAGTTGTAAAACTCGACTTCCTTTTATTTTGGAGAGGTTTTTGCTATAGGGCGCATGCGCTCGCCAGAGAGAGAGACAGAGAGACAGAAAGTGAGAAATCACCACCCCCAGGGGGGATGGTCACGCCGCAATCCCTTCTCCTCCATTCTCCTCTCGGGATCTTGGGCACACACGCACACGCGCCCGGCGTGAGATTTAAGCCACCGGGTCCGAGACGCGAACCGCGGTCGACTACGTGGGAGTCCAGCGACATAGCCATTACGTTAACTGCTGGTTCCAAGACTCGACTTTCAATAACCACTTCCAAGGCTGACCAGGAGGGCAGTGGTTCCTGAAATTACAAGAATGAATTGCAATAGCTCAAGTCTAATTTAAGGGCGGGATCAAGGTGGAAGGGTCATGAGTAGAATATTATCAGTCGACTCAGGTCACCCTCTTCCTCTTATTCATTTGAACAGCAAATGGAGGGAGGTATCTGGGATGCTTGAGTAGAAAACATCATCTTTACACATAGAGGGAATTGAGGGGTCAGAATTCGGGAGAAAGGATCATGAATTTAGTTTTGAGCATTGAGTCTGAGTCCCTGAAACAACCAGACACACACATGTATCCAGCAGGTCCCGAGAGAGAGAGAGAGAGAGCGCGCGAGCGAGAGAGAGCGAGAGAGCGAGTGCGCACGCGCGCTTTATAGCTCAGCAAAGGCTTGGTATAGAAGTAGTTAGCATCTAGGAACCAGCAGTCTGCATAATGGCTATGTTGCTGGACTCCCATGTAGTGGACTACAGTTCGAGTCCTGGACCTGGTGGCTTAAACTCACACCAGGTGAGTGTGTGTGCGTGCCCAAGATCCCAAGAGGAGAATGGAGAAGAGATGGCGGAGTGGCCATCCCCACTGGGGGTCATTTCTTGCTTTCTGTCTCTCTGGCGAGTGCACCCTATAGCAAAAACTTCTGCAAAAAAAGAAAAAAAAAAAAAAAAAAAGAAGAAATTCTATGCCCCAGCAGGTGGCATGGTGGTTAAGGATGCCAGATTCCCACATGGCCGACCTTGGTTCAAGTCCTAGACCTGGAGGCTTGATTTCTCAATTTCTCTCTCTCTCGCTGGTCAAATTAAAATAAATAAAAATGAATAAAGTTAAAAAATTCTTAAAAAAAAAAAAAAAGGCATTAGCACCTGCACTGGGTTTAACAGAGGCCTCACAGGCACAAAAGGGAACACAGAGAAGCAGAATCCTATGAACACACCTGCGGGGGGGGGGATGACAAACTGGGATTTAAGGCCACTCTCACCCCAACAACAACTTCTATCAACGAATTCAATGAATGCCTTGGTGACCTTTCCTATGAGGGACAAAGTATGTTAGGAAGGAGTACTTCACATGAAAGTCAAGTCACCCAAAACTTCACTTACTGGGAACAAGAAAGCAAAATGCAAGTAGCGGGGAATTTATCAGGGTCTGCTCTGTGCCAGGTACTGGCTTACGTTTCTCTTATTTAATTAACTCTCACAACTCTATCATGTGATTTTAACAGACCTGTCTTACAGGTGAGGAATGCAGAGCAGCTGTAATATGGTCGCGGTCACACACACAGTACATGATGCAGCTGGGATACAAGCTGAACATAGGCAGTTTGACTCCTAAACTTGAGCTTCATTTTTTAATTTAAAAAAATAATAATTTAACTCCATTTGTTATTATTATTTTTTAAATTTGACCAGAGAGAGACAGAGAGAGAGGGAAAGGAAAAGGAAGAGAGCAAGCCACCAGGTCCAGGACTCAAACTGCGGTCGGCCATGTGAGAATCCAGTACCTTTAACCACCACACCACCTGTCGGTCCCAGAGCTTACTTGCTTCCTTGCTTTCTTTCTTTCTTTTTAAAGCAAAAAGTCTTTGAGAAAATAGATCCACTGATATTTCAAGCCCTGCCATAAAGCTCACTCTCATTATTCAAATATACCCTTCCCCTATAGGTCTCTCTCAAGACCTAATCAAAATCTGAGCCAACCTCAGTGAACGTGTTTCTAATCTAAACTCAGACAAGTAGGGGAGCCTATTCCTGGCAGACTAGCAGGGAAGCAGCTGCAGGGGAGGGAGGGGCCAAGCCAAGAAAACAGCAGACAAGAGAACTCAAAGCACTGTGCATGGTCACTGGGCAGGCATTTACTGTAGGTCCTGACACCATCACTGCATAATTCTATAGGAATTTATGTTAGGTCATAAATGTCCCACTTACCAAAAACCCAAATCAAATTAAACAGAGTGTTTCTGCTTAAGAAATTAACTCAATTCAAACAGATTGTATTTTTTATAAGTCTAAGGGTTGCTCTTAACATCCCTCCAAACTTAGCCAGATCAACCTAGAACCTGAGGATTGGCCATCTCACCCGCCCCGTGGCTCTTCAACAATCACCTCCACACCGTCTCTAATTGTAGGGCTCCCAAATTCCATCTCTGCCTTCCCAGTAGTTAGGTGTTCCCCTGGTTCCACACACCGAACTCATTATCCTCTCTACCCCTCCCATCTGCTCCCAGATGGAAATAGCCAAGTATCACCAGGGTCTGCTCCAAGCCAGATTTGTCTTCTACTAAATTTCAACTTTTAGAATCACCTTCGGACTCTTCTTCCTCTCTTATTAGAGACATCCAGTCAGGACGGGCTGGCCTTGGTGTCTTACACATCTTTCCTGCTCCTGCTTTCCATCCCCACTCCATTATCTGACTTAGGGACATCCTAAAAAAAAAAAATCAAAGTCTTACGCAGAACACAATACAGTTCCACCAAGGGGCAGGGTGAAACTGTCAAAATCTGTGTTTATTTTTATCTAACAAAAAGAATCAAACTCTGCCAAAAAACCTGGTGCCCTCCTAGGGTCCTTAAGTGGATCAGTCCCATAGGGTATGCAAAAGGAACCCAACGCAGCAGGAGGAGGAGGGAGAGGACTTCCCCACTTATTTCTTTGCTTTCACTGCACTGAAGTGATATTGTTTGTACTACAAGATGTCATCAACTTAGTTAATATTGATAAAAACACGATCCTCAGGACCAGCAGGTGGCATGGTGGTTAAGGCGCTGGACACTCCCACATGGCCGATCACAGCTGAGTCCTGGACCTAGTGGCTCATTTTCTCTGTCTCTCTCTGGTCAAATTAAAATAAAATGAATGAATGAATAAAATTAAATAATTTTTAAAAACCTCACAATCCTCACATAATGAATTTTTGGTAGAGATTAGTTCTTGGTCTCTTTGTCAAAGCTGTCTTCCAAACCTGCCAACCTTTGGTGGGTTAATATTTATAAAAAACACAATCCTTGGGGGCCAGGAGGTGCCATAGTAGTTGGGGTACTGGACTCCCACATGGCTGAGGTTTGAGTCCCGGATCTGGCAGTTTGCTTTCTCACTCACACTCTCATTCTCTTTCTCTCGCACTCACTATAGCAAATTTTAAAAAAGATGGGGGAAAACAAAACAAAACAAAACAAAAACAAACCCACAATCCTTAAGTTACAGAATCATAAAGTTTTTCTCTTTATTATTATTAATTTTTAATTTAACTAGAGAGAGAAAGGGAAAGTGATAAAGCAAGCAGCCAGGTCTGGGACTGAACCGTGGCCAGCCATGTGGGAATCCAGCGACTTTAACCATCAGGCCACCTGCCGGCCCCAAGTAACAGAATCTTTACAATGCTGCAGGGAAATGAAAATCTTTGGTGTTACAATGGTTATTCTTCCAAACCTGCTGACCTTTGCTGGGCTGAGAAGCAGCACACTGCTCAGCAGCTATTTTGAAAATGGATATACAGTAACTTGTCCTTTACTTACTAATCAGCTTTATCATGTAAATCTGTGATTAGTTTTTTTTTTTTATAAATATCTTTATTTCTGTGTTTATGTAAGCTCATCTTTCTGGTTAATTGAACTGCCTTCTCAGTACTTCCATCTGTGTATCGAACAGGCATTTTAAAATCAGCATATCTAAAATTGAACTCCTGAGGCAGTCCCCCTGCCCAAACCTGCTCTTATCTAGAAATCTTGTACATTTCAGCAAACAACTACAAGGCCAAAAATCTTGGTAGTGTCATCATGACTCTTCTTTCTTTCATACCCATTATCCAATCAATTATCAGCAAATCTTGCTGGCTCTATAGTCCACAGTATCCGCAATTCAACTATGCCTCACGACCTCCACAGCTGTTGGGTAGATTACCACAAAGAAATCCTCCTCTCATTCCTCTCACCTAAGACCACTTTGTTAAAATGGGAATAAGATCAGGTTATTGTTCTCCTCAAATGGCTGCTCCATTTCTGAGAAAAAGCCAAAATTTCACAAGACTTGTTCCTTACCTCCACTGCCCTCTAGAAATACAGTTGCTTCTGTATTCTCCAACACTGCAGGCATGTACCCCAACCTCCCCATACTTTTCCTATATGATGTGATTTCTTTCTTCCTTCCTGGCACTCCTCGACTGTCATAATCTGGTGAGGCTTCCTCTGGCTGATCTAAAGGTGCAGTCCTCTTTTCTGACAAATCCAACCCCTTCCCTCTCCCTGCTTTGTCTGCTGCACTCAGTATTACTATCTAAGATACTTTATGATGGCAGATGCAGTAAGGTAACCAATACTGCAAATTTCATGAGTATGGAGTTGTGTGTTTTGTTCACTGCTGTACTTCCAGTGTCTGGATTAGTAGAATACAGGAAGGCTCCATTAAAATCCAACTGCACCCACCCCTCACATTCTTGCCTGACTTACCTTTGGCCAGCTGCCCCTCCCCTACTCATTAGCGCCAGTCTTCATCACCTCCACCTGTCCTACATGTACTCATTTCTGGCCCATCTCAAGTAAGACATCCACTCACGATTATCTCCTGCGGCACCCAGCACAGACTTGTTAATCACAGAAATCCAGTTATGTATCTGTTTAATTATTACTTTCCAAGGGAATTGAATGTTCAGAAAACTGAAGGACACAACCTAAATTTAAGAATTTGGAATCCCTTTAATACTTGCCTCCCTCTTGGGCATGGTACTTACAAAGCAATGAGGGTATATCCTGGGTTCTCAAACTTTGGTTGTATGAGACTCACTTCAGACACTTGGTAAAAACATAAGGCCCGGGTCCCATGTCCCTTGAATGAGCCTGGGCCTCTGGTTTTTTGTTAGCTTTCAGGTGATTCTGACACACAGCAAAGTCTGAGAACCACTGTTCTAGAAGAAGATGGCTAAAAATAGCTTAGGCGTAAGTGGTCCCAGGCCAAGTCATGCACTCTCAAGACACCTGAGGGCAGGCTCAGTCCACTCACAGCAGAAAAGCGCCTGCACCTAACAGGCTCTTGAGAGGAAGCAGAGTCTTCCGGCATACAGAGAAAACACTTGATACAAAAACCAATGACAGTGGTCAGGAGGACTGCATTTTAATCTCTGGCCAAATGACCGTGTAACCTTGGCCCAGTTCTTTTCTCTAGGTGCCTCAGTTGAGCTGTACTATGGAGTCAGTAGTCAAACATTATTTCTCATACTCCTGCGTAAGTCATACGGATGCTGCAAAAACGAGACAATGTCAAAGTTGTATTAAAAAGGAAGCTATTTCCGGACTTAAGAGTACTGGCTTCTCAACCTAGAGGGACTGCAGGCCAGAGCGGGTCTCGGGAGGACTTAGGGGACGCGTTGTGTGCAGGGGCTGGGGGCTGCTAAGTTTGCGCAACAGCCCTGCTGCTATGCGACCTCGCCCCTCTCCCGGGCTTTCTCTGCCGCACTTTGCACCGGCATCAGGGCCGGCCCAGCTCGCCACAGCCTCGAGCCAGTGCCAGACGACTCTACGGTCCACGCTGACCAGGAGGGTGGCCGTCAGAGCTGCCCGCGAGCCAGGGTCTCACGTGGCCTGGGCCGGGAGCCCCCGCCAGCAGGCCGCCTTTCGTCGGGCCTACCTGGGCTGAGGTGCTGAAGCTGCGTCGGAGAGCGGCGCTCGCAGGCCGGGCAAGGGCGGAGAGCATGGCTGGGGCGGGCGGGATGCGGACCGGATGGTGCAGGAGCTGGTGGCAAGCAAGTGACTCCAACGACCTCCACACTGCGCAAGGGATCCCGGGCCGCCCGGCCTGGCCTCGCGAGAGTAGCCTGCCGCCCCCGCCCCCCTCCCAGATCTCGCGCGTCCCGCCCACTCCCGGAGGTCTAGGAGGAAGGCCTCGGGAAGCGCCTGCCAGCTCAGGGCCCTTCGGGCTCCTAGAGCGTGTAGTAGTCGGTGTGACCGGTGGGGGAGCCACAGCCGGAGTCGGAGAGGGCGTCGGCAACCTAAAGCTGGAGAGGACGGGCTTTAGGCTGGAAGCGTCTTAGAGGAGCCATTTTCCAGGTGGGGTCCTGGACGCAGGCCCCGCCAGGGAGCCCAGCCTAGGTCGTGCAGCCTGTCAGGCTGACTGGGTCTCAGACCAGCGCCCCAAACCCACCCCCTTTTCCCCTGGAGGGGGGAGGGGGCCGGAGAGGGCGTCGGCAACCTAAAGCTGGAGAGGACGGGCTTTAGGCTGGAAGCGTCTTAGAGGAGCCATTTTCCAGGTGGGGTCCTGGACGCAGGCCCCGCCAGGGAGCCCAGCCTAGGTCGTGCAGCCTGTCAGGCTGACTGGGTCTCAGACCAGCGCCCCAAACCCACCCCCTTTTCCCCTGGAGGGGGGAGGGGGCTGTGAGCTTCCGAAAGGAAAGAGGTGGAGGAGAGGAGAGGCTGAATTTCGGGCTGGGGTGGGATGGGGCTGTCAGGTCACTCCCGTGCACCCACAGGTGCCCTTGTCCGTCCAGTTGCACGGATCCGTACATTACAGTTTACAAAGTTTTAGCGACGCCACTCTCGATAATGGCGAGTACTGTCACTGACTGAGCACTGGGCTTTGCAGAACTGCGGAAACAGGTCTAGAGATGCTAACGTGTGCAGTATTTGGGTCTGCACCTCCTCAGACCACCACAGCAGTGCATCGTTTCTGCTTTACAGTGAAGACACTGTGGATTTGCTTAGTTTACTCACAGTAGGGGGGGGGTTTTCATAAAAATTTCATCATTTAAATATATATATAATTTAATAATTATTATTAATAATATTTAATTTATATAAGCATAAAACACACCACACACACACACTGTTTTCTGGGCATACAGAAATGTCTCAGACACAGTCCTTACTCTCAAAAAGTTAAGTTAAAAAAAAGGTTCAGTCAAGTGGGATAGATTACTGTGCCACAGGTTGCTGCCTTGAATGTAAAAGTCCAGTGAGGGGACCAAGGACAGTTGGCCTGGAGACATTGGTTGGGAAGCAGGAGTAAAAATACAACGCAAGTACTAAAGAACATACCTATACAAAGGAGTTTATGATGATGGCCTTTCTTTTCTCCCTGTCTTCCATTTTTTGTTTGTTTGTTTGTTTTGGTTTTCTTTTTTGGAGAGGTTTTTGCTGTAGAGTGCATGCGCTTGCCAGAAAGACAGAGACAGAGAGACAGAAAGTAAGAAATCACCCCCCGGGGGGATGGCCATGCTGCAATCCCTTTTCCTCCATTTTCCTCTCAGGATCTTGGGCACTCATGCACATGCGCCTGGCATGAATTAAAGCCTGGGACTCAAACTGCAGTTGACTATATAAGAGTCCAGTGACATAGCCATTACTCTAACTACTGGTCCCTGTTTTGTTTTTTTGTTTGTTTGTTTTTTAAAATTTTGTTTGTTAGTATTATTTTTGAATTTGATCAGAGAGACAGAGAAAGAAAGTGAGAAAGCGAGCCACGAGGTCTTGGACTCGGACTGCAGTCAGCCATGTAGGAGTCCAGTGCCTTAACCACCACTCCACCTGCCAACCCCTCCATTTGTTTATTGAGCTACTGAGATGTACCAGTTTGCCAGGCACATGCAAGTGCTGGGCCTGCACACACCCAAGATCTCATGAGCTGGAAGACTGGAGGAAGAGGATTGCTGCGTGACCAGACCCTGTGGAGGGTGCTCCTCTGTCTCTCTAATTCTCGTGTGCACATGCATGCACTCTGTTGTGAGTAAAGGAAAATAATGGCTTTAAAAAAGGTCAGGGGAACCAGCAGTTAGCATAATGGCTATGTCGCTGGACTCCCACGTAGTTGACTGCGGTTCGCGTCCCGGACCCGGTGGCTTAAAACTCACGCCGGGCGCGTGTGCGTGCGTGCCCAAGATCCCGAGAGGAGAATGGAGGAGAAGGGATTGCGGCGTGACCATCCCCCCTGGGGGGTGATTTCTTGCTTTCTGTCTCTATGTCTCTCTGTCTGGCGAGCGCACACGCCCTATAGCAAAAATCTCTCCAAAAAAAAAAAAAAAGGTCAGTAGGGGGCCAACAGGTGGTGTGGTGGCTAAGGTTCTAGTTTACCATATGGCCATCTACAGTTGGAGTCCTGAACCTGGTTGCTTGAAAAATCACTCCAGGACCCTCTGTGTGTATACCCAAAATCCTGAGGGGAGAATGGAGGATTGTGGAGTGGCTATCCTTCCTACGGGGGTGATTTCTCATGTTCCCTTTCTGTCTTTGTCTTTCTGATGAGTACAGAGAGAGTTTTGTTGCTCTATAACAAAAACCTAAGGGAAACAAAACAAAACAAAACAATGGGGTCAGCCAATAGCATGGTGGTTAAGGAGGCTGGATCCCACATGACCAGCTGTGTGGTTCAAGTCCTAGACCTGGTGGCTCAAAAGGCATGTCAGGTACATATGTATGCATGCCCAAAATCTCGAGGAGAATGGAGGAGAAGGAATTGGGGTTTCAGTGTGGTATCCTTTCTGGGGGGGCGGTGCTGTCTCACTTTCTCTGGCACGTGCACATGTCCTATAGAACAAAATAAGATGTGCCAGCCCATCTTAGAACAGGGTATTCAACTGTGAACAAGAACCACCCATTCTGCCTTAATGGAGCTTAGAGTGTAGCTGGAGAGACAGGTGAATTAGAAGCAGAATGATAAGAGCAGTAATACTGAGTCGTCAGAAAAGTCATGACACATTTTTGCATGGAAGAATACATCATGACATTTCTGATGACCCAATAGAAGTATGAAGTGCAGTGGGAATTTGGAGGAGGTGTATCTAGCCCTGCATCGAGGTGGGGGTGGTGGCTATGAGAGAAGGCCTTCCAGAGATGAACTGTCTAATCTGAGATGTGTAGAAAGAGTAGGCACTACTCAATGAGAACATTCAGCCTCAGACTTCTCTTCCCTGAGAAGCAGAATTCTCAAAGGAGAGGTAACCAGGAAGTGGGCCTTTAACTGTGGGGAGTATTTAAACAGGAAAAAGGAGCCTAGAGAAAACGTGGAGGTAGGGGATCACAGGCCTGGAATCAGAGGATGGCAAATAGATCATTTGTGTAGGAGTTAGGACAAGCAGCATCTTTTATCACCGACCGTGTTCTCTGGTAATCCACTCTATCTTGCCACTAGACGTGAGAGTATCTTGGGGTCAGGCACCATGCCTTTCATATCTTTATGGTCCAATATGTGACTGGTCTGAGAGTGAATTTCGAGAGCTCATAATAGTTTTTTAGATGAGGCTAGCTAGCAGAAGTAGGTTGGAAAAATCAGATTGTGAAGGGTCTATGAATGTTAGCTGAGAAGTCTGTATTTTATTCCTTGAAGCAACTGTCTATCAAAGATGATTTTATGACACCACAGGACTGTGTTTTAGGAAGATTAGACTGACTTAGCATGACTTCACAAGCTAAGGATTCCAAGGGAGAGATATGATGAGCAGCAGATTGTTTAGAAGGCTATCCTTCTCCCCCCCCCATCATACTATGTGCATGCACACAGGAGAGAGATGAAATGAGCATCCTTCACAAGCTCTAATCACACAGTTCTCTTCCTCCAGTCCTCCAGTCCTCCAGCCCATTGGATCTTAGGTACTGGTGCATGTGTCCAGCATGTTTTAGGCTGACCAGATTAGAGATTCAAATTCAGTCACTGTAGGATGTGGCTTCTCTCTCTTTTGTAAATAATTATTTATTTATTTAATTCCATTTGTTGTTACTATTTTAATTTGACCAGAGAGAGGGAAAATGGGAAAGTGAGAAAGCCAGCCTCCAAGTCTGGGACTCAAACTGTGTTAGGTCATGTGGGAGTCTAGCACCTTAAAAACTGTGCCACCTGCTGGCCCCGATTTGACTTCTCTTGAGCCGCACATTACCATTATGCCATGAAGTAGTCTCCTGAAGGCTATCTGATGAGATGATAAAGATCAACTGTGGTGGTGGTCATAGAGTATAAAGGGTAGGACCAGTAGGGTGTAGGTCTCACGGGAAGAATGAGTAAGAGTTTATGCTAATCTGGGTTTGAATGAATGAAAGGGATGTAGAAAATCAGGGTGTACAGAAAGAGTGCCCTCTGTGCTTTCTTCCACAATCAATGGGATAAGCATTCTCTGATCTCATCCTCTCCTGTTTAATGCCCCTTTCAGCATGTCACAGCTCTCGCCCATTAGCATCTTTCTCTTTGATTCCTCACATTGAGTGTGAAGAATCTTTCTACTGGTGGGTGTTTAGTATACAGGCACAGGGCCTCTACTGGTAACTGCTTTCCTGACAGAAATGGGAAATTGTTTACTTGTCCCCCAGAGAACTGTATGGATTTCTCAGAGGGGTCAGTTCATAAGAAGAACTCTCTCTCACCCCTGTCAAGCTGGACCCCCAATAGGTGCTCCTTCTGACCATCCTACCCACTTGCCTATCATCTCCACCTCTAAGAACTGTTGTATTAAATGCCCTGAAAGCCTCTTAAGAAGAGCTGTGATGGCCAGCTGTGATGGTGCAGCACTAACTCAACACTCCACAATACTGAGGCCATGTGGGAAGGTTCCAGGTTCATGTCCTGATGTCTTTCTGTATACACCAGGTGTGTACATGTCCATGATCCTGGCTGGCTGAGCCTGGAGGGAAGATCAGTTCATGAAGACTGTTGGGGATATTCCTCCTCTCCTCTCCCTCTTCCATGGGAAAAATAAACCTAAAGAAGAGGAGGAGCTATACTGTGCTGATAGAGTCTAGCATAAAGGGAGACATCTTAAACTTGCCTTATTTATTTATTTATTTATTTATTTATTGAGATTTTTGTTATAGGGTGCATGAACTTGCCAGAGAGACAAAAAGTGAGAAATCACCCACCACGGGATGGCCACACTGCAACCCCTTCTCCTCCATTCTCCTCTCAGGATCTTGGGAATGCATGCACACTCACCCAGTGTGAGTTTTAAGCCACTAGGTCTGGTATTTGAACCATCGTCAACTACGTGGGGGTCCAGCAAAGTAACCATTATTCCATCTGCTGTTCCCTCAGCTTGCTCTTTTGACTTCGCTATTTTTAACACGTCACCAGG